AAATGAAAATTTTATTGAAAACTGAATCTGAGAGTTTCGAAAGACTTGAAGAGTTGAAAAAATGTGCCCAAGAATTACAATTAGATGATGTTAAATATCAAGTTATTGAAATGTTTCTAAACAGTCGGAAAAATTCATTAGAGACTTTTAAAAATGTCTTAAATGTATTTTTGGAAGATTTTCGTCGTCCAGGTGAATTATAATTACATTTAAGTAGTAAAGTGTTAAATTTCACTTAGGAAATAAAATAACAAACAATTATTTTTTTTTTTTTTTTTAGATAGAGAAGAGCTTCTTCCTACAAAATTATTGACTTATGTAGAATTGATAAACAATTTATTGTCGTTTTATGCTTTCCTAATAAATCTCAACGAATCAGTATTAAATGAAAAAAACGTTCAAAATTTTCAAGTCGATTCTGATGTTTTATACGAAGAGTTAAAAGTATCTAAAAATGAATTAGATATAACATTAAAGTTAATGGATCAAATCAAAGAAATAAAAGGATTGCAAAAAGCTACAAACAAAGTAATGTTCAAAGAAGAAAAATATTCAGAACTACATAATTTTCTCTCTTGTTTTGATTTTGACCTATTGAATGCCAGTATTGAAAAACAAGAAAAAAATGGAAAAAACGCCAAACAATCAGTTCGTTTAAGTTTAAAAAAAAATTTAAATTTTGATAAATTTATATTTGTTTCTGAATATTTTTTTAAAGGAATACTATGCTCTCCTTCAAAATTAAACGAATGGAAAAAAAAATGTGAACTTTGTTTTTTCACATCTATTGATTTAGCCATGTGTTTGTTGTCGTATTGGTGTGACAAAAATACAACACACAATTTATCATCCGAAGAAATTATAAATTTTATTGAAATTTTAAAAATTATTTGCTCACTAGATGGTAAGAACCATTACAAAGATGAATTAAAATTAAAATATATGCATTATGGTGTATCTTTTCCATTATTTTTGTTTTAAAGATCTGAATGCCATATGTACGGAATATAATAAAGAATCACCATGGTGGTCACAACTTAGAATTTGTATATCAAATAGTCCGTCTACCATTCGAGGATTTTTTGCTGCTCTTATGTGTCGTTCCGTCACCATATATTTAGAACAAAAAAAAGAATTGACTTGTAAAAAAGAAAAGAAAAAAAACAAAAGTAAAACTAATAATAATGGTAAAATTAAACTTTTAAAAAAAAATATCAATCAATCACTTTATTACATTTAAGTGATTTTTTTTTTTTCATTTTAATTTCAGGTAATTTGCAAACGGATTGGGAAAACATATCAAAAGATACTTGCCAATGGGATATTCTAATAACTCAATTACAAGATTTAGCCTTATTAAATGCAATTCTCAGCATAACGTTGAAAAATGTTATAAAAACAAAAAGCATGGCGGAAATCCCATTCGATTTCGATTACCAATCGTTAAATTCTATACAATCGAATGGTACGGGAAGAGTGTCGGAATTGGTAACAAAATGGCTTGCACAATTCGGTTTCGATCCTTCCGTTTACATAAATAAAAACGATGTAGAATATTCTAACGAAGGAATGGCGGAAATAAAAAACAGCGACTCATTCAAATCTCTACTGGTTGAAGAATTGAATAAAGCTAATAATATAGCGAGAGAAAATAAAGAAAATTTAAATCTTATTTTACGTATGTCGTCATCGACACCTCATTCGACATTGTTGTTGTTTTTAATTGTTTGAAAACAAAATGAAATTTTTTTTTGATTTTAATTTTAGATTATTTGCAATTGTTAAAAGGTAGATTTCCATATAGTTTAACTACGAGTTCTTTATTAAGTAATTTATGTTGGGAATATACGGCTTATTGGTCGAAAAACATGGAGGATTTAAATTATTTAGAGGCAGCTGTTAAATGCATCGAGTTGATACCTGCGAATAAAATTAAATTCGGTAAAAAAAAAAAAGAAAAAAGTTTAATTTTAAATACCTCAAAGAATTTAAATCATTATTATTATTATTATGGTTTCCCTTAGGAATTTGTATTTTATCATGGAACACATATTTGCAAAATACGTTGAAAGATCTCGCTAAAATGATCAATCGTGTCGGTAAAGTACCAAAGGGAAAATTATTCACACAAGTCATCGGTTTGAACAGTAATCAAGTTCCAAATTTTTTGCAAATCGTTTTGAAATACGTCAACATCATAAGCGATATAGACACTCTGGAAGGTATAGATTTTAGAATCGAACGGGAAGCCATTTGGCAAAATTGCGTCACCGCTCCAGGTTCTAATTTGGTGTCCGTCGCGATTGCTCAGGCAGAAGCCAATCCCGATTCGATCATTCTTTCCTATCAAATCACCGTCGTATTGCTTTTGATTTACGGATTGAACATAAAATTTCCAAAAGCCATCGTTAATTTATTTGAAAATTTGGTCAGTGCAAGAAAATCTTTTCTGTTTTTTTTTTTTTTTTTTTGAATTGAGTAAATTTTTGACGGATTTTTCGGGAAAATTTTCAGGAAATAATGGATTTCAATTTGAACATTCCTGTTGCCACTTGTCAAAATTTAAGTCCTTCCGTAATAAATTCAAGAAAGCAATTTTTACAAAAAGTCGTCACGGCGTCTTCATGCACAGTTCAGGTTGTCGAACGAGTTCAAAGTTCATCTGTTGACTCGGACACCCCAGAAGATTTTGTTCCCACCGTTAAATTCAACGTAGACGAATATAATAAGTGGATTCAATTATGTTTCAAATTGGCTAAAATATGGGATTTAGCTTTGGATGATCTTCGCAGGCAACAAATTTGCGAATTATATTCTCACGGTTACGATCGTTTAGCAGAAGAGGTTTACGACGATGAGAAATTTTTATTTTTATTTTGTTTTTCCACAGTGAATAACTTTTTCTGTTTTTTAGATCATTCCTTCGGTTAACGATTACAATACGTTAGCATCTCAACTTCTTGTGTTGATTGGCAAAAGGTTAAAATACATTTTACACGAAAGAAAAGATTTATCTAAATGCGTAACGAATTTGAGTTCAAATATAAGCGAATGGCTTAAATGTGTGGTAAATCATTTGCATCATTTTTTCTTTTTAGAATCATTCGTTCATTTTTTTAACGTTTAAATATTT